AGTTTCAAACAAAGCGGGGATAATACTCAAATGGAAATAAGTGCCACAGATATATCTATACAGGAAGTATGTAAAAAAAAATCCTGAAAAATTTCCCCTTTTTCAAAAAGAAGAGTGCAACATTTTTACACATCAGGTCATTTCCTCAGAATTACAGTTCATTCTGTCTCCTCATTTAACAAATAAAGAGAATTGCTCGATTTAATTTAATTGGTCACAACCACAGCGGTGCGGTTAGTCAATGAACTTCTGAACGACTGTTATCATAACAGTCGAACTTATCTCACAAATTATGAAAGCTGAGGGCTTCATGCACAAAATGCATCTGATTTTCCTTTTTCTTCTGAACTTTTCCAGTAACTGGCTGTCTTCTGCCACTCTGTATTCTGCCTGCCACAGTAGTTTTGGTGTACAAATGCAAATACTTTTTATCTCAATCTACATATATCCCTTTTAACATAAAATTTAAATTCTCTTTAATTTAACAAACTGCTAGCTGTGCTTGACACTACTACTAGGGATCACAAGAGTCTTTGCTGCAGCTTTGTGAACTTTTTTCAGTTTTTAGTTTTGTGAGAAGCCTGGGAAGTTCATCTGAAATGGCACTGGACACTTTTTCTAAAAGACATTCATCAAAGATGGGACAGTAATGACTCAGAGGTCTAAAAAATGTCCTTAGGTTATCCTGGAAAAACTCTACATACATGCCAACGTCTTTTAGGTCATGCTTACTGATGCCCTCTTTTTGCAGCACTCTCTGGACCACCCCATACATCCCAGGGTTATGAACAATGTTAAACCAGATGTCATCACTGTCGCCGAACCAAGACTTTCTCTCTTCAAAGACAGAGAGGAAAGTATCCACTATAAGGGCATGTAGGCGTACAAGAAAAGCATGCCTGCGGATGTAGGAAATCTTGTTCTCCACCTGGTTTTCTATAGCCTGATGGAGATCTAAGAGAACAGATTTCTCTTCCTCCTCGAAGAGCTGGATTAAGGAGTTGTCCTGCCGCTTCTTGGACCAGAAAGAGCCCATATAAATCCGCGGTGGTTCAACAGAGTGCATCAGAGGGGCCAGACTCCAGAAAAGGGCACCGTAGACTTTCATCAGTTCTTGCTCTCCAACAGTGTCCGCTTTGTTGAGAATAAGTCTCAGTTTGCCATCATGGCCCTTAAGCTGTGGAACACAAGAGACAAGAGATTGGTTGTGAATGTTTTGTCTCATCACTCACAAAATTTAAGTCACTATAGACATAGAACCCAAAGTCTGTGAGATACAATGAACTACATCCAAGCAGAAAAGTGAGATCCTTGATAAAAGAGAGCATTTTTCTTTTTTTAACATTCTTCTGTTCTTCCTCAAGCGAGAATCTAATACTTGACTCCTTTAAGTAGTGCATGGGGAAAAGCACCATTATCCATTACATTACAGACACCAAAGAATACATTTAGCAGCTGCACTTTAAAAAAATAATAATAAGTAAATAAGTGTAAATTCCCACCCGACAGCATGCTCTGTGCACTTTACAATCTATACTATTACCCCAGCAACCTTAGTTTTAGTAGACATTTTATGGCGCTCGCAACTGCATAAGGTCATATGAGGATGAGGGTCAGATGATTAATGGTGTTACAAGAGAGTAACAAACATAAAAAAGAAGGAGGGGAGATAAGGACGATAGATGTTTCATAGGAAAGAATTTATAGGCAAACCACACCAGAGCACCTGCCAACCACCTACCCAGCAAACCTGATTAGATTCTGAAACAATCTCAACTTCCTAGGAAGCATACACTGCAAAGAGCCATTTTACAGACCCTAAAATGGTATATATTGATAAGATATTTCACTGTCTGACACCTGGAACCCATTCCCGCCTTGGAGAAGTGAGAAATTTGTGTAAAGCGCCTTTCCCACAAGCTCACCATTGGGCCTGAACCTCAAACCCTCGAACCAGCAACCTCAGAATAACTAGTCCAGTATCCTATCCATGAGACTACGGACAACATAAGCACATTAACTTTTACAAGTATTTGATGCCATGCAAGACACAATGTGACTCATCTCAAAAGCTCAACTATTGGGTTCCTCCACTCGGGTTTCCAGTTCGCACGCTGAGTCCAAAGCAACATATATTCCAAGTAGGATAACTGTGATAACAACAAAAAATCAATGTGACATCACTAAACTTGAGACCTCAGAATTTCTCAAAAAAGACCTCACACAATCCTTAATTGCTCCCCCCCCCCCACCCCCTCCCTCCACTTTCCTCGTATATTTACCTCTCTTTCCCTTTCTCCCTCCCACCCTCTCCCTCTCTCCCCCTCTCTCTCTCTCTCTCCCCCCCCCCCCTCTCTCTCTCTACCCGCCCCCCCCCTTTCCTTTCCTTTCCTCCCTCCTAATGACAGCACACGCTTACTATGTTAACCACTTGCTCCAATTCGGATCCCACTTCCAGCTTGGTTGGGTCAAACACTAGTAAGATGAGACTGGCTCTCTGTATAAACCACTGTAACACTTCATTAAAAGGGTATCCTCGCTCCTGCTGCTTTTTGTTCTCAATTATCCCTGGTGTGTCCACAAAGGAAACAGACTCCAGCAAGGGAGACTGCATTTCAATTCCTTGCAGCCGCTCCAGGAAATTCTGGGGGAAGAAAAATAGCAGTTTCTTTTTTTTCATCCATATTTCTATGACAAGTACAGTGGAATCGGATTCAACAAAGTCATGAGGCCCGACCTTCAATTTCGTTGAAACCAAATGTTCATTAAAACAAACATGAGGTTTTTGTGTAGATAATTACAGGCACTGAGCAGGTAATGTATAAATGGAAGTATAAATAAGTAGTAGTAGTAGTAGTAGTAGTAGTAGTAGTAGTAGTAGTAGTAGTAGTAGTAGTAGTAGTAGTAGTAGTAGTAGTAGTAGTAGGGTACCCTACAATGCCTGCATTTTTGTACTTTTTCGACTTCATCAATCAAAAGCAGTTTTGTTTCAAATGAGAGAAACGCTGGAAATTCCAGGAAAATACACTGAACTCTACCAAGCACACACTGTGCAAGAGGGCCGATTTGTTCAAATGCACACTTTTGTCATCTATGGCGTATTGTCCTGTGTCATCTATTGCATATTGTTGGCTGAATAAGTTGTGTTGCTGTGTAGAGCTAGCATACAGCAGCATTTGATTCCATAGATCAGCATGCAATTCATTACATATCTATGTCAAAATTGGCTCACTGTAATACGGTGGAACTTGGATTCAACAAACTGGGATTCAACGAAAACTCGGATTCAACTAAAGGAGATGGATTCCCCAGATTTTTTAATCCATTTAAATCCATAAAAATAACTCAGTTTCAACGAACACATAAATGAGCAAGCTTGGATTCAGCACAGTCGCTTGCAGGGTGAACAATCCCCACTGATGTGCTTTCGCTTATTTTTCCCCCGCAACGAACTTTATCTTTTCCAGGAGACCATCCTTGGCATCTGCACGGCGAACCATTATTCACTCAACCTATATATTGTTTATAGCTTATGCAACCAATCAGCGGCCTTCTTTCATACCAACACACAGGTTTTCGGCACGCAAACGTGTCTTTAACTTGTGTCGGGGTCGGACGGGCGGCCAGTACATGAGTGACGTGTGTCTGCGTGTGTTTGGTGGGATGGGGCAGAAAGAGATACAAACGCGTCACTGAAATACTCAAAGTCATTTTTCCCATGGCTACTGATCATTATGCAATGTTTAACTAGTTTTGACTTTGACATAGTACTACGTAATGAATTGCGCACTGGTCTGTGGAAACAAACCGACATATTTCTGTCCATAGAGCAATTGTTATCAATCTTTTTTTCTTGGCTAAACACTTTTTAATGTCAA